TCAGATTTGAATTCCCCCCCACGTTCCGATCGCTTCCAACTTGCCCCCCCTCCTTATTCACCAGACCTCTCTCCCTCATCATCCCTTATGCTCTTCCGCCTTCTCCCCCCTCCCCCCCGCCCCCATCGTCGTCCATCCTTCTCTTTCTTCTCCCGCCTCCCCCCATCATCCCCCTTCGCCCTAAACCTCCGCTCCAGATGGGCAACGGACTGAATATTTGAAGAAGTTCGAGAAACGAAGAGGGAACATAACAAGTAATAATATCTGAACGCGCACGGGGTACCAACATAAAAACGAACGTCTCAAAACTATCGCCCTCGACATCGTCGTCGTCGGGCAGCCTGTCCAGCACGGCTTCGCACGCTGTGCGCAGGGGGGCGAAGGGGATCTCTGCGTCTGGGCTGGCCGCCAGCAGCACTGCCACCTGGGGCAGGAGGGGGCAGGGAGGGCGAAGGATAAATACAACTAATGATCAATGAGATTCAGAGGAGGCGCCCCGACCCCCCTCTCCTCTGGATCGTGGAGGGGGTTGGGAAAGCCTCCTCTGATTCTTGAAGCCCCCCCCCCCTCCCCCCCGCCATCAGGAGGGTTGGCAGAGGGGAAAAAAACGGGCGTGGTTCAAACTGCCAACCACCAGGCCGTCCATGGCCGCGATGCTCGGGCCGTGGGCCGCGTGGTCCTTGTGCAGAAAGTAGTAGTGCCCCAGATTGAATGAGCTCTTTACCCCCTCCAGCGCGATATACTCTAACAAGGAACGGCCCAATGGGGAAACGCCATCAAACTCGGCGCCCGCGGACATCCGTCCGCTGGAGGGGGTAAAGAGCCCGCGCAGGGGCGGGGCGAGAGTGCCCTTGGCCAAAATGGCTTAGCGGCGCTCCTTCTCCTCCTCGTATTCGCCCTTCTCTTTCCCCCCTCCTCCTTGTCCTTTCTTCCCCTCTCCCCCCCTCCTCCCCCTTGGAAGCCCTCTTCCTCCTTCTCCTTCCCCTGTCCATCCCCCCCCCCCTCCCCCCTGTCATTTTAAAGGTCGGCAGCCGACCTGCGGGGCTTCGCAGAAGCCTTCGGCCCCATGGCAAAGCTCTCTCTCTCTCTCTCTCTCTCTCTCTCTCTCTCTCTCTCTCTCTCTCTCTCTCTCTCTCCCCCTCTCTCTCTCAGCTCTCAGCTCTCACTTCTCAACTCTCTCTCTCTCTCTCTCTCTCTCTCTCTCTCTCTCTCTCCCCCTACATATATATATATGTATATCTATCAGTGCCGAGATCTCCAGTTGTCTCCCTGTCCCGCTCAGTCCCGAGATCCCCGCCTCCTCATCGCTCCCCCGTTTCCAAGCGGGGAAAAGGAATATGAAGGGGAAATGGAAGAAGAGGAGGGATGACAAGAATGGAGGAAGAGGGGAGTTTTTTATCCCGCACAACCCTCAGCGCCGCATGAAGTACAAGCGGTAGGGCAGGCACGGCACCCGCACGTACCACTGCACCCGCACGCGGCCGTCTTCGCTCCACGACATCAGGATTTCGGAGCACCGCACGGGCATCAAGGTGAGCGCCCCAGGCTGACCTGGCGCCCACCCCTCGTCCACCTTCCAGCCCTCTCGGGGCCACTGGCCTCCATAGCCAGTGACCGCGATAAAATTTGGACACCCCGCCCACGGGCGGGGTGTCATCTGCAGCAGAGCAGGGGCGATCCAGCTCCTGCTCGGCTTGCGGTTGCGCCCGCTGGTCATGGGGAGGCCTGGCGGGACCTCCCCAATCTCCACGACGCGCCATGGGATCCCGAGCCCTGGGGAGGCGGGCCCCCCATCGCGCTCAATCCACAGGCACGTGGCGTCCACCTCCATGGCGCTTGAGCCCAACGAAGAAATAAGGAGAGGAGGGAGGAGCTGGAGCAGCTGAGAAAGGGCGGTCGGGTAGCAGGGGAAGAGAAGGGGCGGTGGGGGAGGATTTGGAAGATAACGACAGTCGGCACGCAGAGGCGGGGGGGGGGCAGGATGCGACAGAGATACGGAGGAGGACGAGGAGGAAGCACGGAGAGGAAGGACGTGAAAGGGACAAGAAGGAGAGGAAGCTCAAGCAAGTCGTCTGCCCACACCGATGTGACAATCGTATGGCGTCAGATCATTGTCAGAACATTGATCTGACAATGACCTGACGTCAGATTATTGTCAGACCGAAACTGGTACGGTCAGACGAAACTCTTCTTTCATTGTCAGATCGCCCCCCCCTGCTGTCGACGAACCCAGACCGATCCGCGACTGACTTGTTACCGACCGCGACCGACTCCGCGACCGACATGCTACCGACCGCGACCGACATGTTACCGAAGGCGACCGCGACCGATATTGCCGCGACCGCTACCGATATTACCGACCCACCCTGAACGCTACCGTCGCGACCGGTCGCACCTGGAAAATTCCAGGAATCAATGATCTGGGCAGGAGGCGGGGGGGGATCCGAAAAGAGCTCCCCGAACATACATCCCAGTACAAAGAAGAGTGTCTCCTGGTGACTCCCGGGGCCTCCCGGGGGCCAGAGGGCCGAAGCACCTTCCCCAGAGCACATATCCAGATACAGAGCGTGCCTCCGGGGGCCTCCTCGGAGCGGAGGGGCCGAAAAGCGCTCCCCGAGCACAGATCCCATGACAGCAAATGCCTCCTCGTGCCTCCTGGAGCCCCCTGGGGGGCAGGAGGGCCGAAGAACGCTCCCCGAACACACATCCCTGGAGCGTCCTGGGGCCTCCGCAAGTAGCGGCAGGACTGATCTGACGGACTTTCCTGTGCCGCTGAACTGCGAGGAAGTCTCTAGCGAAACGGCCGCTCTACCATCCGCAAGTAGCAGCAAGGATGATCTGAAAGACCCCCCTGTGGTGCAGAATGGCGAAGAGATCTCAGGCGGAAAGGCCGTTCCGACATCCGCGAGTAGCAGCAACTTGGTCCTGAAGGACCCCCTTGTGGTGCTAAATTGCGAAGAATGCTCCAGAGAAACGACCGTTCCAGCAAGTAGCGGCAAGACTGGTCTGAATGACCCCCTTGCGGTGCGAAATTGCGGGGACGTCTCAGGTGAGAGCGCTGTTCCTGAGGTTTGGGCCCTCTCTGGCCAGGGTCTCTCGCAATAAATCGTGAGGAAATATTGCACGAGAGCGTTGCTGCTGCGGGGGCGGTTTGGGCGCAACCCCGAAACGCTTGAGCGTGAGCCTCAATTTCAAAGGCTACTGCAGACGACGCCGAGGCGAGACCGCCAACACTGATATAGGTGGCCCAGCGATAGAAACTGATCGCAACTGAGACTCAACCATATATTGTTTCAGATCTGCTCACGTGCCGCTCAACATTTCTATCCCACCCTCGATGCCTGCCGTCGTCGTCTTCGATCGTGCCCCCCCCGGGGGGAGCACATTCCCTCACCTGCCGCGCGCAGTTGGCGCAGCCCCTGAGAGCAAGAGCAGGGGAAGAGGGGGAGGATGGAAGGGAGGAACGAGGGGGAGGGTTGGAGGCCTGGAAATCGGCACCAACACCAGCACAGGGGGTTGCATCCACATGGGGAAGATGATCATAGAAATCCGGCGTTGGTGGTAGTATTTCGGTCACCTTGCGGGCAGGGCGACAGGGGGGGACAGCAAAGGGGGGGTTTGAGAATCAGCTCACGTGGCTGATTTTCCTGGCGCCTCCCGGCGCCGGAGGCGGCCATGTATCGAGGAACGGGCCCCTCGGTGGGGCCGAAACTAGCTGCATGCAGCAGATTTCGCAACCCCCCTTTTCCCAATCCCCCCCTTTCGTCCGGCCCGAAGCTTGGAAGCCAGAACATTACCGCCGTCAACGAGATCGGGATCGTCCTCCCTCGGTGGAGGCACACCGCCGATCTTGGTCTGCGAGGGGGAGCACGTTGCAGCACGAGGTGAGATGAGTAGGAGGGGGGGCAGGAGCAGAACACACGTGGCAAAGCCAGGCGGGCGGGTCCGGCCGGCGGACCCTCACGGGCAAGGGCTGGGCGGGCGGGCCCCCGGCGGCCGGGTCAAACGGGCGGGTCGCGGAAGCGCCAGTCGGTACGAACCGCGAGGAAGTCTCACGCAGGAGGAGGAGGAGGAGGAGCAGCAGGAGGAGGACGAGGAGAAGGAGGAGGAGCAGGAGGAGGAAGATGGGGGAACTGGAATAAAAAAGGGCGCTCCGAAGTCTGCTGGGCGGGTCGCCGACGCGCCAGTCGGTACGAACCGCGACAGCGCGATTCCCAAGTAAATCGTGAGGACGTCCACGGCGAGAGCATGGTTCCTGAATGGCGAGGGCGCGACGTGCAACAGATTGCGAGCAAAGCCAACGCGAGAGCGCGAGTCCTGCAGAATTCAAAAGAAGTGCCGCGTGAGAGCGCGATCTTGAATGAATGTATGAGGATGTGTCAGGCGGGAGCAGTTGTTCTTGTAGTTCGGGGGCCCGGGGCGCAGTCTGAGTTGAAAAAGCCTGGCGCAAGCCTCTGCTTCAATTGAACACGCACAAGGTGCACCGGAGGGGGACTCACAATGTTCGACTTTTGGACATGGGAGCTCAACCAGACTCCGGCCGCGGCCCACTTCAGTCACGTACCCGAGGACGGGAGAGGACCTGTTTGCCCCCCTCACTCTGACAAGATTCCGCATGAGGCGCTACGAGGCTTGCAATCCGCAAAGTGACCAACAACAAAAAACGAGCGCGCGGCTTGCCCAGAGCGCCAGAGGACGCTGAGCTGCGCGGCACTAAGTATTGGCAGGTCTTGAAGCAGCGGTTGCACTTGTACTCATGAAGTGCAGTCTCAAATGCTTGCAACTGTCGGGGAGACGTAAGACTCGGGTTCGGAGGATTTGGATTAGCCTGACTGGGCCGTCAGGAAAATGACGAGACCACGCGAACTCCCGCTGCGAACATCTCATGAAAACAGGGCCGTCAAAACCCAGGACGAGCTCGCCAAAAAACAGCGGCGAACCCGAGTTCAGGCGAACTCGAGCCTCACGTTTCCCCGAAACTGACCAACGGCTCCTACCTCCTAGCAGCTCCGCGCCAGGTGGTACGACCGGCCGCGCGACCTCAGAGCGGCACCGCGTGGAACGGCCCCGAGTGGTCCTTTGGCGGCGCGCACATGGAGGTAATAAGGGGGAGGGGGGGAAGGCAATGCCAGCGCCTTCTCAGAAGCAGCCTCCTTCTAAGAAACCTTCCCTCCTCCCCCTAACCCCCTCTGCACGTGGCCGAGTCCTGGCGGCGCAGCAATCGGCGGGGCCGGAGGCGGAACCGGCACGAGCGCCGCGCGGCGCAACTCCCTCGAGATGGCGCCCGCCAAGCTCTTGGGGCTGCCAGCCGCGCCTTCGCCCTCGGCGGCTCCTGCTGCCAGCGGCGCGGCCGCCGCTGGGCCGGCGCCTGCGGCGCCTTCTGCTGCCGGCGTCGGGGCCGCCGCGGGCCCGAGGCAGCCCTCTTCGTCGAAGCACGGGCGGCACTGCTTCACTCCCATCTCCCACGGCGAGCACGCCGGCCGCCCGGCGGCGGCGGCTTTCTGCTCCCAGTACGCCTGAGACCGGAGGCGCCTGAGCGGGGCTTCCTTCGGCACCGGCATCGCAGGCCCCCTCCAGGGACGTTGGCCTCTGAGGGGCACCGTCTCGAAGGGCACCGTCTCGAGGAGCGCCGGCTCGTCGCCATCCCTCTGCAGCGCAGTGGCGCACCAGCTCTCCTCGTGCACGTCGTCGTCCTGGTCGTCTTCGAAGGGGGGCAGCTCTGCCGTTGGGCATCGCGTGGGGGCCGAGCTGGCATAGAGGTCGGGATTCACCGCCTTACCCTTCCCCTGCTCGGCGAGAGGCGCCTCCATGTCTTGAGACAGCGCGCGGGCAATGAACATGGCTCGTGGGGTGCTTGCTGGTAACTACACGCTGCAAACTTCGAGAACCCCCTTGAGCCAAAGGCAGGCAGCGGCAGAGTCGTTTGCCACCGAGGCGGGAGGCACGAATCAGAGCGTCCTCAGGTCCGTGAGGCTCTTCAAGAACTCTTCTGTGCGTCGAACGTGCTGAGACGTAGTTACAATAGAAGCCCAAGTTCTGGATTCCGAAACGGCCTGGACGCCCCCTGGCGTTTCTGGGCGTTCTCGGGAGCTCCTGGGCTGCATCGCGCGAATGTGCCGAGGTCGGGGCCTGGCTCGGAATCCAAACTTGTCTCAAAGGGCCAATCCTGGGTTTTCGGGTGGAGCCTTCTTGGTCCGTCTTGGACGACCTCGGGGCTGGGCAAAGAGAGCAAAATGAGTAAGAACCCCTTCTTAGCAATTTGCATGATGGCAGTGCCCATCCAAGGAAACCCAACAGACCAACGAAATTCTTTCAAGACCAGGCCCCATGAGGCCCCCAAGAGTCACCAAGAGCCCCCCAAGAAGGCCCCAAGAGGCGCCCGCGAAAGGCTCCGAAACGGCCCGGAGGAGGCTCTCAACAGGCCCCCAGAAGCCCCCAGAAGGCGCCCAGAGGCCCCCCAAGAGACCCCAAGAGGAGTTTAACAAGGATCTTGTCTAAGTCACGGTGGTGGAAGGGGCCGAACCGTTGCTTCCAAGAGGGCTCGCTGACGTGCCATATGACAACAGATTGAGAATTTCTACTTGTATCAATCGGCGGTGAGCGAGGGGGGAAGTGAGAAGGACAAGGCCTTCTCAAAGGCGGCGGGACTTCTCAGAAGCCCTCGCGCCTCCTGAAAAGTTTTCTGTGCCTTGGGGGGAGGCTTAGGAACCTTCTCAGAAGGCCAGGGGGCTTCCGAGCCTTCTAAGAAGGTCCGCTCCTTCTGACTTCCCCCCTGGGCTCACCGCCGAAACAGTGACGCCCAGCCAGAGTCGACTTTGACAAGGAAACCACCCGGCTGTAGTCCGGGGCCCCGGCTGGACTGCACCAGTGCAGTCTCGGCGGCTTCAGAAGGCTGCGCGCGCCAGCCTTGCCGTTGTGCACGTGCCCGGCACGAAGAGGGAGGGAGAGGAGGGAGGAGAAGGAAAAAAGGAAGGAGGGGAACCTGCAATTTGATTTTAACTAACAGTAATTGGAAGTTTAGCTTATCGTATTGAATAAAACACTTAAGTGGAAGGAAGTCACAGAACCAAGGCATGGACCGAGACGGGGGGACAGAAAACGCCCAGGGAAAACCAAACATGTGTTTGTTACATAGTGCTTAACTATGTCCAGCGAGCATGCGCACCAGAAGCCAGAAACACGGTCACGCGGAGGCCCTTCCAAGACAGCAGGGGGCCCAACGGCACCCTGGCACGAAGGCATAAAAACGCACGACCCCAACCGGTGCGGCAGAGTGCACGCCGCGGCCGGAAGGGCCGCGAACACGAGCCGAGGCAAAGGGAGGCAGAGGAGACAAGAGGAGGGGGAGGGAGGCTCCTCGGCTGCAGCCGCTTCCTCGAGGGAGCCCGCCGCACCATGCGCGCCGCCCGCCGCCCGGTGTCCACCGCGAGGCGGGCCTCGATCCGCCGCTCCTCGACGCGGCGCCTCGGCGCCGTGGCGCCGTGGCGCCGAGGGAACCGCCCTGCCAGGCTCTGCACGAGGAGCCCGGAGCCCGCGTGCGACCGCCAGAACCACGGGAATGAAGGGGCCCTGAGACACACAAATAAATACACACAAACAAAAGGATTCCCAATATTTCCCCATGTTTGGGTTTTTTTGTCGCCCCCCCCACTTCCCATATTTTCCTGGGAGTCGACGATGAATTGTATCTGTGTGTTTTTTTTCCCTCCTGGAAGAAGGCGACGGGCCTGCACTCCACGCGAGCGGTCGCGGGCTCCCCCTCGACGGGCTGGTAGAGCTCCACCCTCTGCAGCACAGTGCGAGGACGTAGCAGGCGGGCGCCGTTGCAGCAGTTCGGGCGCCAGCCACCCAGTCTGGAGACCAAAGACTTCTCTGTTAAGAACAGAGGGTGCGAGCTCCAGGAGGGGCACTCCAAAATCGAGAAAAAAAAGTGTTACCGGGACGGGGGATCAATAATAACTATTCAGAATTGAAAGTTCAACTATGAACGCCTCCAGGGTTGCAAGGATGCGCAAATATGTGCCAAGATGGCCTCTAAGACGGTCCCAAGGCGCCTTCAAGACGTCCAAGATGGCCCCAAGAGGGCCCAAGATGGCCCCCAACATCTCTTCAGGACGGCCTGAAATGGACACAGGGCGGCCCAAGATGGCCTCAAGACGGCCCAAGAGGGCTCTCAGAAGCTTCCCTGGAGGACCCGAGGAGGCAGTGATCTTCGCGTTTTCGGGCTTCCGACGGCCCAAGACGACCCCGGAAGCATCCCCACCGCCGCGGCTTTGAGGGCAGCGTGCGCCGCGGCCAGTCGACGCCGACAGCGACTCGCGCGCGCGCCGCCCCGGAGCCCGCGCACCGTCCTCGAGCTTGGGCTCTGCCGACGACACGCTGCGGCCCACAGCGCGCTGGAGCAGAAGAGCCCCGCCCCAGACACGCAGCCGCCCGCCTCGCCGTTGGCGGCGGCAGCGCTGGGCACCGCGAGCTCTGGTCTGCCGCTGCCGAGGAGGCCCAGCAGCTCGCGCGAGGCCCGCGCCGGCTCCGCGGGCCCCGCCGCGGCCCCGAAGCGCGGCTGGCCGCGCCGCCGCCTGCCGAGCCCTCCCCTCTCCGCGACGCACCGCGGCCTCGGCTGCAGCGGACTCCAGGGCTCGGCCCGAGCAGCGCTCGTCGACCCGGATCGGCGTTCCTCCTCCCGCGCTCCGTCCCCGCTGCGGAGCCGCCACGAAGACGGCCCACGGAGTCGCCGAAACGCCGAGGAGGCGGAGCCCTGGCGGCTGGCGCTGCGCGGCCGCCAGCGCCGCCTCCGCCGCGCGCCCGCCACCGACGCGGACCGCCGCGCCGCCGCTCGCAGGCCCTCCGGGCGGCCGCCGCGGCCTCCAGCATTGCCCCTGGGGCGGCCCAGGAGGGCCCCGGAGCTGCAAGTTGGTCGCCCAAGACGGCCAGAAGGCAGCCCAAGAGGGCCACTGGACGGTCCAGGGCAGGGCGGCTCCAAGAGAGCCCCAGGCTGGCCCGGCAGGGCATCCAGAGGGACACAGGACGGCCTTGGAGAACCCCCTCACGGCCCAAACGACCCTGCGATGCACTGCAAATGACCCTGCAATGACCATGCAATGACCATGCAATGACCATGCAATGACCCTGCCCCAAGAGAGCCCCAAGAGAGCCCCCAAAGCATAAAATGGCCAAGAGAGAGTCGGAAGAGGGCCCCACGATGGCTCCAATATGCCTCCGAAAGGTCCCCAGAGCGTAACTGCATGCCGCTACACGTGCCTGATCAGGGCAACTCGCCTGATAAGGGCTGGTGGGGATACGAGAAGCATGTGATGGAATAATAGCATGTTCCACGACAGCGGGCGCGAGAGGGGGGCCTCCGACCTTCTCACCCCCGCATTGCGCGTGCAGCATGCCCATGCAAATGTTGGGTTTAGCGGGCAGCGTGGACAGGTTGCCGGCGAACAACTCCACTCGTTCGGCCAACCGTGCACTCACGCCTTTCCTCCGTGGGCAAAGGGTACAGTCGGACCTAGGCCAGAAGAACATCCTTCAAGAAGATGAGACCCTCTGTCGGCCAAAACAAACAGAACATCCAAGGGTACCATCCCCAGGATGCACAAGAACATTAGGGTACCCTCCCCGAACCGACCTCGATACTATACCTCGGTCCGACTGCATCCTGCGACGTACCCGACCCATCTGCATCAAGTAAAAGGATGAGTTGGCCCAAGGTTGCATGGACAACGACAGTGCGGGAATCGTCGTTTGGTCTTGTGCACGCCACATAGTGCGGGAGTCGCCGACTGTTCTGCAAGCTACATCGCTAGCATGCTCGTGCGCGGTACACGACTCGTAGCACAGCAAGAAAAGCTGGCGTAGCACCGCACTAAGCTGGCCCTCCCAGAAGCACACGAAAAGGGCGGCAGCATCACAGTTCGCAACCCTACGAATGTGAATCCGCGGTGGTACGGCACTACGCTGGACATCCCAGCAGTTTCGCAGTTCGATCTGATCTGCGTAAGACGTCACTCCGCTGGACCCCCCGACCAAACCTCGAATGTGGAGATAGTTTCGCAGCCCTCCAGCGACGGCGAGGTCCATTTCTTATCTGCGTAAGACGTCTCTCCGCTGGACCCTCCAGCAGCACTTGAAAGTGGCGACGGCTTCGCAGCTCGCAGCCCCACGACGACGGAGAGGTCCCGCTCTGATCTGCGTAAGACGTCACTCCGCTGGACCCCCCGACCAAACCTCAAATGTGGGGATAGTTTCGCAGCCTTCCAGCGACGGCGAGGTCCATGTCTTTTCTGCGTAAGACGTCCCTCCGCTGGACCCTCCAGCAGCACTTGAAGTGGCGACGGCTTTTCGCAGCTCGCAGCCCAACGACGACGGAGAGGTCCCGCTCTGATCTGCGTAAGACGTCACTCCGCCCCCCAGCAGCACTCAAAAGTGGCGACAACGCAGCAAATCGCAGCCACCTAGCGACGGCAAGGTCCCACTCTGCTCTGCGTAAGACGCAACTCCGCTGAAAACTACCCGGCAGCCCTCGGAAGTGGCGACAGCTTCGCAGCTCGCGGCCCCCCAAGCGACGGCGAGGTCCCACTCTGATCTGCGTAAGACCACACTCCGATGGACCCCCCAGCAGCCCTCGAATGTGGCGATAGTTTCACAGTTCGCCATCCCCCAGTGACGGCAAGGTCCCACTCTGATCTGCGTAGGACGTCACTCTGATGCCCCCCTTCGAAAGTGGAGACAGTGTCGCAGTTCACAGCCCCCCAGCGACGGCGAGGTCCTGCTCTGATCTGTGTAAGACGTCACTCCGCTGGAACCCCCCCAGCATACCCCGAAAGTCGCGACAGCT